ATTCCTTCTGGCGTCTGCTCCTTTCTGCTTTCTTCCAATTAAAAAAAAAAAAATCCCAGGCATCTCCTCGGCGTGCGACTGGTGGAAGCTGGAGCTGCCGTGCCCCGCTCCAGCGGGCTGGGGCTGCACGGGGAGGGGACAGGGGTGCCCTGCATCCCTTTTGGTGCCCGTTCATGTGGGGCACAGGGGCAGGGATCATCCCAAACGATCCCTTTGCCCAGATCTTTCTCCTGTGGATGTCTGCTCCGTGGATAAGGTCTGGGACCCGCTTCAGGGGGTATGGGGAGCTTGGGAGGGGTCAGAGGATGTGTTCCCCATGGAACAATGCCCCGTGTGGAGGCTATTCCTGAGGGAACCAAGCAGCTTGTGGGCATGGGGTCGCATTTTGCAGCTTGGCAGGGTGAAGGCCCGTCCATGTCCTCAAAGCCTGACCATGTCCTTCTGTCCTCTCCCCCAGGAGTGACCCGTCTGTGACGCCGGTGGGATCCCAGCCGTGGAGCCCCAGCTGTGAGCACCGGCGGGGCCGGCGGGACACGGTGCAGCTCTGCCCAGCCTCCCCTCACCGCCACCATGCCGATCCTCAAGCAGCTCGTGTCCAACTCTGCCCACTCCAAGCGCCGCTCGCGGGCCGACCTGACGGCCGAGATGATCAGCGCGCCCCTGGGGGACTTCCGCCACACCATGCACGTGGGGCGCGCGGGGGACGCCTTCGGGGACACCTCCTTCCTCACCAGCAAGGCCGGGGAGCCGGTGCCGGAGGCGGGCGAGGAGCCGGGAGCCTCCAAACCCAGCCTGTTGTCCCGCCGCTTCCGCAGCAGCAAGCGCTCGCAGTCGGTGACGCGCGGTGACCGGCGGGACATGCTGGGCTCGCTGCGGGACTCGGCGCTCTTCGTCAAGAACGCCGTGTCCCTGCCCCAGCTCAACGAGAAGGAGGTGGACAGGAGCGCGGGGCAGCTGCCCAAGAGCCTCTCCTCCAGCCCCGTCAAGAAGCCCGAGGAGATGAGCCCCGAAGAGCAGCAGCGCCCGAATGGGGCGGCCGCGGGGCCGCTGAGCCCCAGCTTGGATGAGCGCGACTTCGGGGACATCACGGAGCTGCCCGTCGTGGTGGCCAAGGGCGGGGCGGGCATGAAGCACGCCGAGTCCATCATGTCCTTCCACATCGACCTGGGGCCCTCCATGCTCGGGGACGTCCTGAGCATCATGGATAAGGATCAGTGGGAGCAGGACGAAGACCCCGAGGCGGAGGAGAGCCACGAGGAGGAGGGGGAGGCCGCCCTGCCCGGCTCCCCGGTGGTGGCGGTGGCGGCCCCGCCGAGCCAGAGCCCGGCCCGTGGGCCCAGGGACAGCAGTCCAGCATCCAGCTGCACCTCGGGGCCCGAGGAGCGCAGCCCTGTCCCCAGGCCACCGAGCCAGCGGGGGGGGCCCCCAAAACGCCCCGACAGGGAGTTCTCGTTTGCTGATGAAGATGATGATGAGATACGAGTATAAAGGAGGGCGGCCGAGCCGAGGGTCTGGTTCTCACTGCGGTTCTTGGACATGGGGCTGAACACCCCGGTGCTGCAACGGTGGCACCAGGGAAGACGTGACTCCTCCCTCCTTCCCTCTCCCTGTGCCATGGCAGGACAGTGATCTGCTCCCAGGGCCAATCTGCTCCCAGGGCTCGGGGCATTCCCGACATCTCTCAGCACTTCCTGGGAGGGGAAGGCAGACTCAGTTTTGGTTCTTTCTGTTGGACTTTGGATATTAGCTCTTCTCTCCTGCCCCCCTGCCCACGTAAAGCAATTTAGGATCCAACAAGATGAGCCTTTGGAGTTCTAGCCCCTGTAGTAATATATATTTTTTTTCCTGCCGTACGGTTTTTACTGTTTTCTGATTTGTACTTAACTTTCTTTACTCTCGCTTTTGGTTTTAACGGAGGGGAGATTTCCCATGAGGAAGAACTTGGCTCTGGAGCTCAGAGGTGGCCCAGGACTGTGGGCAGCTTCACCTCCTTGGGTTTCTTGTGGACTTTCTGCAGAGCAAGAGCCTCCAGCCCTGTGCCATGGCAGGTGCTCGGATGCATGGATGGATGGATGGATCCATCCCAGATGTTTGACCCTCCAACCAGCCCAGGGGTCACAAGGATGCCCCCAACCAGCCCAGGCACCGGCTGCTCCTGGGGGTGCTGATGGAAGCGTGGGTCTGTCCCCCCTGGGAGGAGCACCTGGAAGCCCCCTGAGCCAGGGAGCCCCGATGCCCCGGTGCCGTGGGGCTGGTGGGGCCGGGCAGTGCCAACACTGGGCTGGTGCAGGCAGCTGGAACAGGAGGTTTTATACCATGTATGTACAGATGCAAAGAATAAAAGGAAATGGTAGTGACTGCAATGGCCTGAGTTCCTGAGGGATGAGATCTGTGGGGACCTGCTCCCCGAGCAGGACCAGTTCCCTGTGCTGCCGCTGTCCCCGGCCCCCGTCCTGCTGCCTCCACCTTCGAGCCCGTCCCTGGCTGTGATCCTGTCCTGGCCGGAGTTTGGGCACCTGCAGTGGCCGTGCTTTCTCGGCCCACGGCGGGAGGAAGCGGGAGAGCTCCCGCTGGCCGGATCTGGCTCCGGGCTGGGCCCCTCCGGCCACACGGCTCCTGCCAAGGGACAGCTCTGCCAACACTGCTCTGCCCCCAGCCCTGCTCCCTCCCTGCCAGCCAGGGAGGAGGAGAGGGTGATGGTGGGGCAGGACTGGCTGTCCCTTCTCCCACGGGCTGGGGGCCAGGGCTCGGGGTGCCCTGGGGGCTCCCGTCCCTGCGGGGAATCCATAGCCCTGGATGATCCTGGCATGGAGAGCAGGGCAGGTCACTCCCATTCCAGAGCCAGCTTCCCACAGCTCAGCCACTGGTGTAATGGGGCTGTGCCAGGACTGCCTTCCCATTCCAGCCCCAGAGCCCTTCCCAAGTGGGTGGAGAGCGTGGCTCTGCTGGGATTACCAGCCAGGACCTCCTCACCAGTGATGGAGAGGGAAGGATTTGGCCCCCCCAACATCTCCCAGCTCTAGAAAGGGCTGGATGCCCCAGTCCTCCCAAATGGATGTCCCCTGGTGAAGCCGGTGGGAGCGGGCAAGTGCTGCTCCACAGTGGGGACACAATGGGGTCCTGTGCGTGCTCTTGGCAGGACACAACACCCTGGGCAGGGGACATTGGGCCATTGTCTGGGACAGGGAGAACAACAGCAGCTGCAGCTGGTAGCTCTGAGCTCACCAGGCTGCCTCTGCCCCCATTGCCAGGGCACAGCCCCCTGTCCTGTGCCAGGGTCCCACATCCATCCCCCGAGCCCATGGTCCTGGTTGCTGTCCCCTGGGAGGTCACCAGGCTGCTGGGGGACTCGTGGCTCCTCCTGTCCCCGAGGGGTGCTCTGACACAAACCAGCAGGGCAGGGTGGCTCCCTGGGCTTTACACCCTCTGCCAGGACCCCCTCGCTCCCCGGGGCTGTGGGGATGGGGGGGCCCTGGGGTGACCCTTCACGGGCTGCCTGTGACCGTCACTTGGCCACCCTGATCTTTGTGACGCCTGTCGGCTCCAGGCTCCTGCTCGGCAGCGCTGCAGTACCACGAGCTGACAGGGCAGAAAGTGTGTGCTGGGCTGCTGAGCACACCCGGGACACGGCCCCGCTCCACGGGACAGGGAGGAGGCCCTGGAACGGCACGAGCGAGCAGGGACAGGGGCAGCCCAACAGGACCTGGGCTAGTGGGGAGTAACACTGTTCCCCAGCAGCACTGCTGCCAGCCCAGTGTCCTGCCAGTGTCTGCTGCAGGGGAGCACAGGCTGCACCCCCAACCTCCCAAAACCACCCACAGGCACAGCACGGGCTGGGACATCCCGTCACACCCCCGGGGTGGGTCCAGGATGTGGCCACACGGGTGCTGAGTGGCTGCTGGGTGGGTGCCCAGCACCCTGCACGGGGCTGTGGCCCCACGGGCAGCGCTCCGGCAGCGCTGGTCCAGTGCCTTTATCCCTAGTGACAGAATGGGAGCAGGGCTCCATCCCGATGTGTCAGCCCACGGCGCCCCAGGCGATGCACGGGCCGCGGGAGCCGCGTGACGGAGGAGGACGGAGCGTGAGGGTAAATCCAGGGGCTGGGTGGGCTGAGGAGGACGGAGCGTGAGGGTAAATCCAGGGGCTGGGTGGGCTGTGCCGGGCGGGCTCCGGGAAGCACCGCGGCCACGCCTGGAATGTGCCACTGAAGCCTGGCACACGTGGAAGCCCCCAGCCCAACAGCTGGGACTGGAGGGGCTTCTGAGCAGCCTGAGCTAGTGGAAGGTGTCCCTGCCCATGGCAGGGAGTGGAATGAGAGGAGCTTTAAGGTCCCTCCCAACCCAAACCATTCCATGATTCATCGGGATGCACAATGACCTGGCTGCCCCTCCAGGAGCCCGGGGTCTGTCCTGCCAGGTGCTGGAGAGTGGGGCTGGTGCTGCTGTGCACCCAGAGCGTGCTCAATGCACCCAGAGCACAACAGAACCCACACAGGATCCATCCCATGCTACGGGAATGTACAACTCCAGCACTCCAGCCACATTTGGCTCCACGTTTAAGGCCTCGGAGTGAGGGGTTAACCCAGCTCCTGGCCAGCCCCAGCTGGTTTTTCTGGAGCAAAAGCAGATGTGGGAGCAGGGAGGCAGTGAGGGGGATGGATGGGGCCGGGGGCTGAGCTTCTCAGCTGCAGCACCAGGCAATCAGGGCTGCAAATTGGGATCAGATGTGGGCAGCTTCCCGCTCTAAATGGAGCGCTCCGGGCGGTTGCCTGGATTGGCTTTGCTCTGGCTGGGGAGGAGGAGGAAGAGGAGGGTTTCTGAGTGCTGCTGGGGCCCAAGGTGGCTGCAGGGACCCTCAGAGCGTGGTGCTCCCTTGGCAGAGCTGTGTTTTCCTTGGGCAGCCCTACTACTGGGCCCTGTGAGCTGTGCTTCCCTGCCTCTTTCCCTGCTTCCTTCCCTGTCTGTGCCAGGCTGGAGGGGGCTCTTGCTGGAGCGGGGGTGATGCAGGAGTTGGTGGCTGGTGTGGAGAAGATCAGGTTTGACCTGGAGGTCGATGTGGAGCAGCAGCAAGGAGCTCGGCCCCTGCCCTTCCCGGGGGTGGACAGTAAGTTGGGGACAGGGTCCTGTCACAGCTCCCTGTGCTGGGGAGGGCTCAGACACCTCCAGGGCACCCAGACCTTGGCAGCGCCAGGTGAACTGAGCCCTGAGTGCCCAGTGAGTGCTTCAAACCTCTTCCACACCCAGGAAAGCTCCTGCTGGTGTGTCCCGAGCTGGGGGTGCTGGGAGTTTCTGGGTGCAGGGAGGACTGGGGGGGGCCGTGGGGGACAGGCTGGCTGTGACAGGGGTGCCATGGCCAGGCGTGCAGGGCCCCTCCAGGCACGGTGGCAGGGCCAAGACCGCGGTGTGCAGGCACTGGCTGCGGGGGCTCTGCAAGAGGGGCGACGGCTGCGACTTCCTGCACGAGCACGACGCCACCGGGATGCCCGAGTGCTATTTCTACTCCAAGTTTGGTAGGTGCAGGACCGGGCTGTGCACCCCGGAAATCCTCTTCCCACCCCTCGCGGAGCCTGTACCCTCCCAGCACTCGTGTCCCTCCGGGCTGGCCTCGAGCAAGTGCCTGATGCCACCTCCTGACTGCGGGAAGAAGTGCCACTGTCACCCTCCCGGGTGTTCCCCCGGTCCAAACCCGGGTGCTCTCAGGGCGCCCCAGTTCCTCCCATCCAGCCCATCCCTGAGTGATTCCCGCTCTGTTTTGTTTATCCCACCTGTCCCACCCCTTGTCTCCCGCAGGCGAGTGCAGCAACAAGGACTGTCCCTTCCTGCACGTCGATGCCACCCCCAGCACCATGGGCTGTCCCTGGTACGACCGCGGGTTCTGCAGGCACGGTGAGCTGCTGGGACGGGGGAGGGTGGGCAGGGGCTGCCCGTGTGCCCACCGGTGATGTGGGGCCGGACCCCGCTGCTGGCACAACCTCCTGCCCCCTCTGAGGTGGCCGAGCCACAGCGGGGTGACCCACGGCGTGGCTGGGACTGGGACAGGAACCCGGTGGGGGTTTTGGGCTTGGGGCAGCAAAGAGTTCACCGGGGCTGCTGGGAAAGCTGAGCTCCCAAAATCCCGGTGTGACGTGTCCCTGCAAACCTCTGCTCTGCGTGGCAGGTCCCCGGTGCAAGTACAAGCACACACGGAGGGTGATGTGTGCCAACTACCTGGTGGGGTTCTGCCCAGAGGGACCCAAGTGCAAGTTCGTGCAGTACGTACTGGGCAGGCTGGGGGGGCCTGGAACACGGCTGGGGGGGACAGCCCCCTCTCTGAGGGGGCAGAGGTGGCCCTGTGGTCCTTGCAGGGTCAGGGATGAGGCTGCTTTGGGACCTGAACCGTTCTGGTCTCTCCCCACATCCAACCAGGGTTTGCAGTGGGTGGGCAGGGAACAGTCCTGGTCCCCATGGGGGTGCCTGTACCAGCCCCAAGACATCCCTGAGAGGTTGTGGGAGCCACAGGAGGATCTGAGAGTACCACAGGGAGTAACTGCCTGTCCTCTGTGTCCATTCCCAGCCTCAAGGCCGGGCTGATGACGAGCAGCACGGATCCCTCCAAGGTGAAGCCCTTTCCTCTGCGCACTGGGGTGATGCTCCAGCTGCCCCACAGCTCTTATGGGACAGCAGCTGCCAACTGCCCCTCCTGCCCCATTCCCCCCAGGAAACTGGCTGTCCATGGGGGCTGGTACAGCGGGATCTGGCTGCTGGTGAGGAGAGGGGAGGCGAGGACATGCCATCCACAGAGCCACCTCCACGAGTCACACAGCACCTGGCAGCACATCTGTGGGACATCAGTGGCTGCCCCTCGGGCCCACAGAGCCTGCTGGAACGAGGTACCTGCTCCAAGGTGAGTGTTTTTGGGAATGGGAGGGCTGGGAGCAGTGTTCTCCCCTTGGAGGGTGATGGTGAGGGACAGCGTGTGGCGTGGGGACAGGCTCCCACAGTATACCCAAAACAGCCTTTGTCTGGAAATATGCATTTTCCCTGGGTTTTTTTGGGCTCTGGAGTCTGTCCCTGGAGAGCTGGGGTGGGAACCAGCTGGGAAGGAGGGATCTAGTGGGACTGAAATAACCTGACTGCAAGGGGAGGGACTTGGGTGGTGATAAACCAGTGGGAGAGCCCAGAGAGCAGAGAATCCCTCTGGGTCAGAGGTTTGGTGCAGCTGGAGGTCTTGAGGTGCTGTTTCCAGATGGGAGCTGTGCTGGAACATGGCATGGCTCCAGGAACCCACTCCCTGGGAAATGATGTGAAAATGAACACGTGGGAATGTGGCAGAGGGTTGATGCAGCACAAATCCAATGCCTGTCTCTCCCTGTGCCCCCAGAGCGGACAGGTCAGTCCCTACACTGGTGAGAGTGGGAGGACTCAGCTGGAAATGCTGCTGGGGAAGTGACTCCAGTGGTCCCACACAGATCAGGGAAGGAGGACACCCTAAAATATGATGGAGATGGAGAGACAGCACCAGGGCAGCTGGTGGACTAGAAAAGCCAGTCGGGTTTGCTCAGCACCAGCTCACAGTTTGCACAAGCAGCAGAGAAATCACTTAATGCAAGGAAAATTGGACTTCCCACAGCTGGCTCTGGACAGGCCGGGCCAGCAGCAGCAGCACCCCCAGGTTTGAAGGGACTGGCTTGTGCCAGGCCCTGGGCACGAGGGTGAGGGTGTGCTCATCCCCTGGGAAGGGGGCACAAAGCACCGTGTCTGAGATCACAGACCAAGCAGGAAAGGAAAAATCCACAAAGGTTTTTATTGCTGGTGAGAGAATTTCTCGTGAACCACCTCCGACACAGCACTACTGCACCTCGCTGAATAAAGAGCTCAGATTTTTAATTCTTGGCTTTATTTTTCATGCCTGTAACATGACCAACCCTTTCCCAGACATGTTTGGGAATGGCAGGCTCCAACTAGCACTCCTGTCTCCTTGTCTGTCTGATGCAGACACGGGTTTGCCCTTTGGGCACAACAACTCCTACAATGGATTTTTCTCCTCCAGAAATAGGGCACTGTGGTCTGAGCTGCTGCTTTAGTGCCTTCACAAAGGTTCTGACCAGTCCCACCAGTACAAGGGGTGAGTATAAACTGGGCTTTGCCGGGGGAATTTAAAGGGAATTGTTATTGGGATTGAAGCCCACCCTGCCACAAACCTCACTGCTACAGCATAATGTCAATTAATCTCTAATAACAGCTCAGGGCAGGAGCCTGTCCTGTGTCTGCCGTGCCAAAGCGAGGGATTTGGGATTCTGCAGACTCCAAGAGCTCTACTGCACACATGGATCTCTCAGGGGTAGCTCTAATGCTTCTTTATTTCTCTACTGAAAGCTCCCTGACCCACAGAGGGGTGACCACGGGCTGTCACTGTCACCCCTCTGCTGCACGAGGGCCCCTGCCAAGCAGCCCCCACCTTCCAGCCCCTGTCCTGACAGCAAACAGGCCTCTGTGCTGGGAATCTGCTGGGACACTGGCTGTGAGCACTTCTGCTGCCTCCCAAGGAGCTGTGACCGTCCTGGGGGTGCTGCTCCAGCTCCTTCAGTGGTATTTACGCCAGCGGTGACGCTCTGGAAAAACAGGGAAGAAAACATTCCAGTGTCAGCACAAAGGGATGCTTGGGGGCTCCAGAGGTGGGCTCTGCCCAGTTCCTGATGAGTCTCACTATAGCTTCTCTGTGCATGAGCAAGGGGAAACCACCCCACCACCAGCAAACCCCTTGTCACTTGTGAGGAAATCCAGGGAATGGGAGCTCTGTGTTGCAACATCTCCTCCCTCTGCTCTGTGCAGGGTTTCAAAGTGCTCCTGACATTCCTGGTGCTCCCCAGGGAGAAGCTGTGAGTAAGCAACTGTTATCACCACTTTTAGTGACTAAATTCCTCTGCTTCCCTCCAGAACCCTGCTCTCTCAGCTCTGATATTGGTCTTAACTGTGGACTATTTAAATTATTCCAGAGCTTTAATTAACAGGAATGGTAAATAGACTTCCCAACTGCTGCAAGAGGGAGAGTGCCTGAAATAAGAGAGACCCCAAGCAGGAAATCTTACTGAAGTGCTGATAGTTCCAGCTGTAGCTGAGCAGGCAGTACCCAGTCAGGAGCATGGAGATCCCAGTGTGTCCCCCCCTCCTCACGTTGATGTATTTGGCATAATAACTGTTCCAGGCTGTTGGGAGACAAAGGAAAGGGACAAATCATGTGCTGGTCTTTGGAAT